CACATGCCTGTAATCCTAGTGCTGGGGAGGCTGAGACAGAAGGATCACTACAAGTCTGGACTGCATAGTGAGACCCTATGCCAAATAAATGATTGATAAATAAATTTCACAGTGTATACAGCTAATAAAATGATGGGAATCAATGTCAATGATATAATGACTAATCCCATAAAAAGGATTATAGTTACAGGAACCAATACTATATTGGTAAAAAAAAAAAAAAAGTAGAATCTCCAAAATAAGCAAATACCTAACAATATACTCACAAGATTCTGACAAAGATACAGAAGTAATTTACTATGTGGAAAGATGATTTTCATGACAACTGTTGTTAGAGTAATTTCACAGGCCAAAATAAAACAAAACACCCTGTACCTAAGTCTCACACTTTGTATTAGAACTAATCGAAAATGGACCACATCCTTTTTTAATGCTTTCTGTTTTTGAGACAGGGCCTGGCTATGTAGTTCAGGCCATCCTTGAACTGTGTAGCCCACTCTGGCCCAGAGCTACTGGCGATTCTCCTGCCTCCACCTCCCGGGTGCTGGGATTACAGGCATGCACACCTGGTGAGACCACATATTTAAACATAAAATTATAAAGCTTTCAAGAGAAAAAGACACAAGAGAAAACTTCTGGCACTTTGTGCTAGCTGAAGTATTCTTCTTAGACTTAATCCAAAGGCATTCCATTAAAAATGTAATAAGGGGACTTTACTTAAAAAAAAAAAACTTTTTGCTTTCTGTAACACTGTTGAAAGAATGAAACATGAGTTAACGACTAGAAATTACGCAAAACACATATTGACAAAGGCCTGAGATCTAGGACATGCTTAAAAACTCTCAAAACTCCATAGTGAACAACCAAGCAATCTAATTAGAAACTGGGGAAAGACACAAAGAAACACTCCACTAAGGATGATATCAGTGACAAACAAGTACAGGAAAAGGTGTTCAACATCATTAGCTGTCAGGAACATGCAAATTAAATCTGCAAAGAGATCTCACTAGACACTTATCAGAACGGTTAAAATAAAAATATTTTAAATAGCGGTAATACCCAATTCTGACAAGGACACAGAGCACCTGGGCCACCTGTGCACTCTCAGTGAGAACGGAAGTGGTTCAGCTGTCCTGGAAAAGTATGGGAGTGCCTTAAAAAGAGTTGGTACGGCTCTTGCTCTTTGCCGCCGCCATGAAAGGTTGCCCACTGCCATGTGCCGCTCTGCCTTGCAGCCAGCTGAGTATGGACTGAAACCTCCAGTAACTGTGAGCTAAATAAACCTTTCCTTTCTTTAAAAAAAGAAAAAAAAAGTTGGTACAACCCAGGAATTATACACTTAGATATGTATCTCAGAGAAAGAAAGACTTGGGTTGACATAAAACCCTGTGCTATATACATGAATATTTGTAGCAGCTTCGCTTGTCTTAGCCAAACCCTGGAAACAATCCTGATGTTCTCCGGGTGAGTAAATGCATAAAAATACTAATGCACTGGGGAATACGATTCAGCAACAAGAAAAGAAAGTTACTGATATTCGCAACAACTACAACACACCTCTAGAAAGTCATGCAAGCAAGGGGAACCAAGTCATACGCATATATTCATATATATTTATATATTTTCAGTATGACATCTATATATTTTAAATATGACAAAATTATAGAAATGAACACCTTAGTGATTGTCAGGGGCTGCAGAATGAAGAAGTGTGGGCAGACAGGGCAGCTATAAGGATCCTGTGAAGATGGAAATGTGTGTTGGTTTTAATACCCTGGCTGTGGTACTAAACTGTATCTTTGCGAAATGTTATCACTGGCAAGCTTAGAAAAAGGGTATTTGAGGGGAGTGTGGTGGCGCATGCCTGTAATCCCAGCACAGGAGAGGCTGAGGCGGGAGGACTGCCAAGAGTTAAGGCCAGCCTGGACTACAGAGTGAGTTCAAAGTCAGCATGAACTACACAGCAAGTGAGACGCTGTCTCAAAGGGGTGGGAACTTGGCATCATTTTGTATTTCTTATTACAAGTGTGTATAAATCTAAAATTATCTTAAAATCCACATATTAATATAAATATACAGTAATAGCCTCTCAGTAATAGGAGAATTATTTGGAAATACTATGCACACATTAATGTATTACAAATTCTTTTTCACTGAGCATGCACTAACAAAATAATTCAAGATATTTTATTATTAAAAGGGACATATGCTATTGTATACAATTTTATGGAGTATCTGACTATATTATTAAAAATTTTAAAAGCTGCTTAATATTCCATCACATTGGTCACTGATCTATGAAAGGAAAATTTTCTATTTTGTTGTTGATTAAAAACACACTGCAAGAGTTTTTTGTTTTTGGTTTTTGTTTTTTTGAGTCAGGGTTATATTGTGTAGCTCAGGCTCATCTCAAACTAATGGTGCTCCTCCTGGCTCCCCCTCCTGTGTGCGGGGATCACAGGTGTGCGCCACCACAGCCTGCCAGCAAGAATGATCTTTCTTTGGACCAAAACGCTGTTATCTGTTTAACAAATAAACATTGTTTACAAGGTTTTTAAAAAAGAACGATCTTTCTACCTTAATCTTCGCATGCATCCCCAACTACGTCCTGTGACGAACCTCTTGAGATGCAGGTACTGGACCACTGTAGTAGGGACACTGGAACCGAACAGCTGCTCTCGAGTATGCCCCCATCACGGGTGTGTGCATGGGAGATCCCATTCCTCTGTCCTGGGGAAGCTGCCCCAGCTGGATTCATATCCCAAGCTCCACTGACCAATTACGCAGGAAAGCAGGCGTGCTAGCCTCCTCTGTGACAACAAGACTAATAAAGCCGCCTGCACCCCACGCTCTCCACAGCTGTGACATGCACGGGTCTTGCTTGCACATTCTCACATCCACGGCATCCTCAAAGCTCAGCTCTCAGCAAACACTGACAGGTGACCTCTTTCTGCCACATTCGCCTGCCCTGACCACTCTCGCCGCTGTGCTGTCCTACACACATGGGGGCAATGCCTCTGCCCCAAGGCTCAGCCCCTGTCAGAGGCCTTCCAGTCCCACGCTGCATAAACCCACCGCTACTTCCTCCAGCCTCCTAGGCACTGCCATCCCACTAATGCAGACTTTAAGCTTTGTCGTTTTACCATTATGAGAAACAAGCTTGGCTCTAACAGCTTCAAGTCTAAGCCCTCCCTCTTACAATTTTTGCATCAATGTTCTTTTTCCATGCTGGCTTCCACCCCTACAAATACCCGCAATCTGCCACGGTGTGCTGAGGAGCCCTAGTCACACTGCCCTCTCTGGTCGACACCAGATCACCGTCCCTTCAGTCGGCCTCTGCCTCTCCTCCTTTATAACATCCAGTCTCAGGGTCCTCCAAGTCAGTCAAACCAACAAGGAAAGTAACGCGAATTCAATAACTACATGTATTTGATTCAAAAGTAATGCAGATGTACACAAAATCTTGCAGTTCCTGAATGGATAAATAAATACACAGAATGTATGGCTTGTGTTAAGACATTGCTATTCCATATTTCTTTAAGTTTTGTCACTACTTTGACTTGAGCTCTGTCTGTCTGTCTTTCTTTCTTTTTCTTTCTTTCATGTATTTGGTTATTTACAGGGTCTCTTCATGAAGTTCAGACTCAGAGTGATCCTCCTGTTTTCAGTTTCCCCAGCCCTGGGATTACATGTGTGCACCACCACACCTGGACTCTGTGGCCCGCTCAGCCTGCCCTGGGGGCAGGGCTGGCATGGCTTGTGATACCAGGGATCGAACCATGGTGCCTGAACTTGCCTAAGCTTACTTAAGCAGGTGCTTATTCCGCTGAGCTATCTCAGTGGATCTAGTCATCCTGCCTAAAAAGCCTTATTCCAATTTAACACTATCCAAGGACTTCCTTTCTGACTTTCACTCTGTTCAGTGTGGTCCTCCACTCTCTGAGCAGGGAGGAACAGCACAAGATGCCTTTTTCTGACATTTCTTCTGTCTAAACAAACATTTTTCTACTTCAGTGAGTTGCCATTTCATATTGGATTTCAGCAGAGAATGTTTTTTCTCCTTCAAAATATATTAGAAAGCCTTATTTTTGTTTCTACCTATTACTTCTGTAGATTATATCTTACAGGTATGAGGAGTCTGATCCATGTAATCAGTCAGATGAAAAATGCTTGCTTTGAAATGTCATTAAGCAAATTACTTGTAGCAAAAAACACACTGAAGTAAAGAAAAAATATGTATAGCCTTACAAAAATACCACCACTATAATATTTGTTTTTCTGTCATTAGATATATAACACAGTGTGACTTGACAGATCATTTTCAAGGCTGCAGTGAACTACAAATATATAATATATATTTAATTTTTCTTTGAAATCTTAAATAAATTAGAGCAAAGCAGTGAAATTTTACTTTAAAACCTATAACATCCTATGTTACGTTGGTGGTAGGATAATGGCTTTTAAGAACAGTGACACTTGTCTAATTCCACACCAAAGCATCCCGAGATACTCAACCGCATGCTTCCAGGCAGTACGGGAAATACTCCCCGGAGAATTATAATCTTCCTCCCATCCCATAAGAGACTACTTACCAGACTTCCTTGCTTTCAAAGCAATAACAGCTGCTAGCTCTCTCTGCACCTAATAAAATATTAGAGGAAAAATCAAATTAGAAGAAGAAAAATGTAGCCACCAAAGCAGTACTTTGTTTTTAAATATGCAACCCAATTAGAGACCGCTGCAATGAAACATAAGTTCACTGGCATCTCTGCTTTGTTTTGTGATACAAAAGCTTCTGCATAGGAATTTTCAGGCCAAAAATTCAGAAGAATCATATTGACTTAGCTTTTAAAAGTTAGCTGGCAGAATGTGTATATTGCAAAACACTGGTATATGTGCAGGAAGAGTACTTCCAAACATAACTAGGCAATATTCAGAAATCATGAAAATACTAATTAAATTATTATAATATACATGGTACCCTAACGAAGACACTAGATAGTATTTGTACTATCTAGTACTATCCGTACTAGCTCATATAGAAATTCTAGAAACTTGAGATAGGGGCTTCTGGTTTCAGTGACTCTGTTTAAACTCAATGAATATTTGTCATGTCTACAAAAATCATTTGGGATAATAAGCCACCTAAAAACAAATGCACCAGCTTCTGGGGCAGGGGAAAGGTGAACTGCTAGGGCTGAGATGAGAACATCCCCTGGGGCCTCCAGTGCTGCGGTGCTCTGTGTGGGCTTTGGGGAGATGCAGCTTTGTGCTCTGAGGAGGTGGGTTCTGGCTGGAAGAAGCAGCCCTGGGGGTGACCTGGAGGTGCATTTGCTTCCCAGCTCCTCCCTTCCTGTTTCCTGACCGCAGAGATACAAACAGCTCTTCTGCTCTGCTGCTCTGCTATGCTGTTCTGCCTTGGCGCCAGCTCCTGGCGAAGCAAACTGTAAGCTAAATCCACCTCCCCTCCTGTGAGTCGTGGGTGTCAGACGCATGGTCTCCGTGAAAAGAGAGTGACTAAGGCAGGAACAGGCAAGATGACCTTTGAAATCCTAAGTATCTTAGATCCTATTTATCTCCCAAAATTTTTAGCACTTCCATGCCCTCTTGTGCTCCTCACTGTGAATACTTAAAATCTTTCCTTAAAAGCATTCTCAAAGAGGAACAGTAGAGACAAAAATTTAAAACACAGTCGCCTGTACAGGTAACACTAAGGTAATCTTTGGGAAATCTATACTTGGTAGCAAATAAAAATTCCTTAATGACCAAGCTCTTTCCTTTTCTTTGTTACTGTATTTTTTAGTTGAACTGTTTTAAGGAGAGGTTTATTTATTTATTTATTTATTTTTGGTGCTGAGGACCAAACCTAGGACTTCCAGCTTGCTAAGCAAGCATTCTACTGCTGATCCAAGCCCCAGCCCCACAAGCTCTTTCCTTTTGGGTTTCTGCTGAGAAGCATTTGTGTGTGTGTGTGTGTGTGTGTGTGTGTGTGTGTGTGCATACACACACGCCTGTGGATATATTTGGGTGTTTGGAGGTGGTAGCATTGGAGATTGGGATCAGTTGAATATATTACAGTAATGACACTTCGAAGAGAGAACATGAGAGTTCAAGGTTAAGTTGCAGATTTGCTATTCAAATTAATTTAATTTATATTCATTTACTGGAAGGCAAGAGCAGCAATGCGCTAGACCCCTGGAGACTCCACTCAGGAGCTTTCCCAGTGGCCAGCACTGGCATCATACCCCGAGGAAGGCAGCTTGCCCGAAGCTGTTGTCATCGCCTTGCTTTCCCTGTACGCTGGTGCGAATGCCAATCAAGAGCATACGCCTTTGATTTAGTTGATTCTTTGATGCCCAAAGACTCTCTCAGGACAATCAAAACAATAGTGAGAAGGCAATCATTCTCGCCAACCTTGAGTCTGGCTCTAAAAATGCTCATGGCTAGAAGATTTATCTTTAAAGAAGTAGAGGGGAAAAAGGGACTAGGGGGCCTGAAAGCGAGGAAGGATTATGCAAAATCTTGAGGAACATGTGCAAGTACACAAATAAAAAAAGCCCCCGGGCCTCCATGCTGGCCCCACCCCTGGGGCATGCTGAGACAGCAATTGAGACTGGGCAAGGAGGTGCACACCTGTAATGCCAGCTCTTGAGAGGCTGTAAACAGGTGGATCACTACAAGTCTGATCTAGTAGTGAGATCCTGAACACCCTGTAAATCCTTCCCTAAAATGCAAAAAACAAATAAATAAAAATAAAAAAACAACAAAATTAAAATATCAATCCTTGCATTTTGAGCTGCTTGTAGGTTTACTGTGACATCACCATCTATTCTGGAGTTTTTCCTCCTTCACAGTATCCTAATTGGTTGGAATGCAGAGATGAAGACTCTGAAGACTCTCTGGGATCCTGCCATGGGCTTCTCATTCTCTGACCTCCCAGGGAGGACCCCACTGACAACAGAGAGGCATGAGGTGTCTCGGTTACATGCTCATGGAGAACCAAAAGCTTTCTTCCCCCTCCTGTTCTAGTCTTCTAGAAATGTGTTTCTTTCACAGGATCTCAGTGAAGAGAGGGTCAAAACACAGAGTTCAGAGAAAGGAAGGTACATTCTTAACTCTATCTACCACTATACCTTTTCAACAGTTTGGTGTGGAAAGAGAAGAGGAATGAGATGAGGAAGAAAACAACAGTCTTTCAAGGTACTACCAAAGGGACAGCTCTGCAGTGAGAGAGAAGAACAATTCCATGTTCAGTTTTGAAAGAACCTAAGCTTTTTTTTTTTTTCACGTAAAATTAACGACATACTGCATCTTCCTAGCCTCCACAGCGGGAGTGTATGTTTTATGGCAGGTGAAATGTAGTCATAGCTGTGACAGTTGATTGATTGAGAAATTCAGCTAAGAGAAGATTAACTGAACAGCTCAGCAATTCTACACCCTAGGTTGCAGAAGGCCCACCCTAGGGCAGTTTGTCACCTGGACAAAGGGGAAATGAGCAAGAACAGAGGTGCTCCAGCTTCTTCGGAGGGACCTCAGTTCTTGCCTTCACCACAGATATCATCTCAGTCTTCCACCGCAGACTCATCGGCCTCCTGATACGGATTCTCAGGGACACTGCAGAGAGTTCCAGACCTTGGCCCAAACCCTTGGGTGTCCAGGGTGCAGACCCCTATGCTTTTTCTTCCTCATCTGACTCTGTGGGTGGCCACTGTACACCAGTCTTATAAATTCCTATACATTTGCATATCTTGTGTTAGAGGCTGTTTCTCTAATAAAACACTGAATGACACACATCACTGTCATATTTCTTCTCCAGGATGGAAAAGATTTTTAACAAAAAAACCCAAGAGGACCTGGGGCTGGTGCTTAGTGTAGAGCCCTCACTAGTATGGATGAAGCCCTGGGTTGATTCCCAGCAGCGTACAAGCAACAACAGCAACAAAGATGAACTGTTCTCCCCACAAAGCACAAATGGGAAAACACCACCAGGGCGCACACCCCCTATACATGTACATAGCATCTTCCCAGATCTTTAACACACTAGCAGCCACGTAATCACTTCTGGTTATATGGCTGAGACCTTCCAGCTGGAAGCACCACTGAGTCAAGGCCCTCCTCTTCCTCACATATCTCATAGCACCTGTCCAGTGACCCATAGGTAGAGACACAGATAATACCTAAGAGAATATAGAAAGGACCTAAGGGAATGAAATGGCTCAAAGTGAAGAGGACAAGGAACTTTCCAAGAGATGACAATCCCTTGCCCCAAGCTACTCCCATCAGAAATCTTTAAGACATGTTAGAAGGACTCAAAGTCCCCTTATCAGAAGTTGTGAGGTTTATATTAAAAAAAAAAAAAAAAAAAAAAAACACTTCAGCTACTGCCTAAACAGAGGCTAGAAGTTCCTGCCTGCTCTAAGGGACCTGCTGGCATTAGAGAAGCAATGCTGCCCTCCGACACTGCCAAGCCTCCCTGCAGAGGACCAGGAGCAGGCTGAGTTCTTTTTTTTTCCTATTTTTTGCGGTATCAGGGATCAAACTCAGGACCCTCCACCAGCCAGCTAGGCACTTGTACCACTGAGCTATTTGCCTGGTCCAGAACTGGCTGAGCTCTGAACTCTACTCTTTAAGAAACCCTGAGCAAGAACCTCAGAGCTCAACACTCCCAGACTGCTGGAGAGCTACCCCGGAGTCTTGTAGGACACTGATCATTTTCTTCTACACCTACTTCAACTGTCAGTTAAACTTAGCGTCTCTCACGGTGCCTACAACAAGACCCTCTTCTCAGAGGAGGCTGGCCAAGTGCGTATGAATGCCACGGATCACATTCTGACATGGGATACTATTTTTATGTAACGTGGAAGCTGAATCACTGCCTCTGTAGTCAGAAGAAATTTAAATTATTACCTTGGCCTTTCCTTCCATAATCTTCTCCTACTATGATCCATAACTCTTTTCTTTATGTATTTAGTACAGGGTCTCACTATACAGCTTGGACTCGTAGTGATCCACCTGTTTTCAACCTCCTCAGTGCTGGGAATACAGGCATGTGTCACCATGCCCAGACTCATTTGACCTCTCAGTGAGCCGTGGGGGCAGGGCCAGGGCATCATGTGGGACCAGGACCAGGGATCAAATTCTAGTCCCTGTGCTTGCCAAGCAGACACTTAATCTGCTGAGCTATCTTCCCGGCCCACTGTAACTCTTTTCTTAGCCCCATGGAGCTAACGGCATTTCAGTATTCAACATTTTGTACATTTCACAAAGTTGTCCTTTCTACATCATATGCTCATTGAAATCTAGAGCAGCTACTTATTAATATTAATATTACTACATATTAATATTTTTGTGATGAAATACATGACTACTCACACCAAATGGGACAAAGGAAGACTAGATAAAGCCTCTGGTACTGACACCAAATACACTCAATTTTGGTTAATTTTTCTACCAAGCAAGTTATGAAAACCTTGTTTTTTAGAGCTTTTGTATTTCAGAATTGTGAACCGGAATCATAAACCTCTGCTGAGAGGCATGGCAACATATGCCTGAAGTCTCAGCACTCTAGAGGTTGAGGCAGGAGCATCACCATGTGTGTCAACCCAGCCTGGGAGTACAAGATCAACCTGATTACAGAGTGA